CGATAGGACTTTCCGCAGCCATTTGTTCCTTACTTGGTCGTCTATTTACCTCCAACCCGTGCATTACTAATTCTAAATCTGGGTCTTCCTGCTGGCATTTCCTTAAGTTACTTGCCTCCCACTCTTCTGCTTGCGTAACTTTCAGTCGCCGGACGTCTATTATGTCCTTTTTAACCTCAGCTTTTGAGCAATGTTTCCATTCCATATTACATAAAAAAGAAAAATTAATATATTTGTTTAAAATTATATTTAAGGTGTATATTTTATAGCGAGTACCCTCAGCACTACCGCGAGGATGTTCTCAATTGACTCAAATTGGATTCCTTTGACCACCGATTTTGTTCTATGGAACAAAAAAAGGCACAGGGTAACATATCAGGCGAATGAGGCGGTAGTTACAACACGGCAATCCTTTTAAAGGCCAAATACTGAGACACGCTGAGGGCGGTGTGGATCCAGAATCCAGTTACGAGCGATGTCTGGGCGCACCTTGTTGACTTGGCGATAGTAGAGTTGATTTAAGGTTTGCCCCAGAGGAAGAAATTCTTTGTGGATGAACAGTATAAATTAGGGAAATAGATCCATACCACCTCTAAAGAAGAATATATTCCCACCACAGCAGAAATTGATTCAGCTTCCCTATGCAGTGTGTCCTTAGCTAAGCTTCCTTGTATTTGTGTGTAAACCGGAAGCGAAATGCACTGAAGCTGAATCCTGTCTCCTACTTCATTAGCGGGACAGATTAGTGTTTTGACTATATTTGTGTACAGTTCAGTGTAAGAAATCTTAGATCTAAGTAAAAGTGTCAAGTCTCATATAAATACAATATATTTACATACAATATTTATGCACATATATATGTATGTATATACTTTCTTTACACAAGATTCATTGGTAAATACTTAATATTTTCTTTACATACACATAATTGCACTCGTTTTATCATTTATCATGGCTGCAAATATAGTTTTGTTATCAATTAAATGATATGTTGTGATCTGTTTGCGATATTATCAATGCATCTGATAATAATTGATGAAGACGCGATGAATCAGTGCAGACTTCATTGTTCAACGTTGAGGTGAAGTAAAGTATTTTTTCTAAAATACCACAACTGTGCATAGACTTTTATATAGTATATAGAGTATTTAGATATTGTGGAAAATTATGGATACCGCGGAGTTAGGTGATGACAGTTTCATTAAAAATCGGTAATTTTTCATCATATAAAAAAATATTCAACGCTACTTTAAACAAACAATTATCAAATAGAAAATTCAAGGATAAGCCCCCTTTGTGGGATACTTTTCAAGATCCACCATCTAGAAGAGCAACAGGATCGGCAGCGAGTTGGACGAAACTGGGATGCCTGTTAAAGGTTTTCAAGTTACTTACTTATGGCTTGGTGTTTTTGGTGATACTAGGAACGGCCGTTGTATCGAAATTATGTTTCCTCTTAATGGTAGCGCAGTTTCGTTCGAATGCGACTGTGAAGATTTGCAACACTCTAGGTATGTATGTATGTAATTGATAAGCAAATAAAAATTTCTCATAATTTGTCAGTAATAACGATTTACTGCAATAATTTTACGAATGGAATTTGTTATCTTTCAAAATTTATGTTACTGTTGACATACATATATATTTGAGGTTCTTTTAAATAGCTAATTCTGTCCTCTAGAGACAGTCGTATGTAAATTTAAGCATATAATTATAAGTATGTATGTACAGAGCTTAAATTACTTGACCAAATGTGGAAACAAAAAACTAATAAGCTACCACTCGCTGAGTATATTTTATCTAGATTCTAGAGGTGTGAGTACAAAACTAACTGATCTTTACTAAGTTCATTTACCGGGTTTAATAATGTTTATGCGGTGAATATTAAATTTATAGATGTGATCGCTTGAACAGAATCACTTGCGGTTCACACTTCTCTACCCTCAAAGGAAGTATGTATTTCTTCAATAGATTCTTTGAGTTTATGTGTATCCGGGTAAGAATGGTAGAAACTTAATTTACGTAACATTATCTTACATATCGCCACAATCGGATTTATTTGTATCTGTCTAGCTAAATAATTGATTAAAAATTATTGTTTTAATAAAGAAAAATTCCGATTTAATTATTGCCAGTTTGTACACATCCATGTATTTTCGGGTTTTTAGAGTATCCCAAAATTTGTCTGAACCAAATTTGAAAAAAATATATATTTGTATTATGTTGCTTTGAGAAAGCTTTTGAAATCATAACTATGGTTAATAATGTGTCTTCTGCATCTGGTTCTATTTCTCGCTTCAACTTAGCAAAAGCTAACTTGAAAAACCAAGTTGACTTCGACAAACTATAACAGTAATATTGAAAAAAAAACATTATACAATAATTTAAAGGTAGTTTTATTCAGTCTTCGCAGTCGGCTTCATAGCTATCTGAGCTTCGTATTTTTCGTGCTACCTTCATGTCTTCAAAAAATATATGTACCATTTCTAATTAAAAAATATGAGGAATATTCTCATATTTTGTTAAATGCTCAAATATTCAAAAATCACGCGTTTTTCAACCTCTGATAGTGGACTTCATCGAATGTATGCCTTTCATGATTTTTGTGTTACATCTTTAGTAAATTGTACGAAAGTATCAGAAAGGTAAGACATTCGTCCGAAAAAGTTTATCGAATTCAAGAAGTTAAGGAGTTGACTGGATATGTCATATCTACGTCTCACATATTTAGAGCTATTTCAAGGAAATTTGTAAGCAAACAGGATATTGTTTTAGAAATAGTTTTTTAGCGCAGTGCAAATTCATTATAAAAATCTCAAAAATTTTGCTAAAAGTGGTTTAAGTCGATTAAATTTTAAAACACTTTTGAATTCAATCTAACCGCTAAATATAATGATATTTGAAAATCTATTCAGTTAGTTAGGTTAGGTGAGAACCTATCTAGCAAGGTAAACAAGATGGAAAGGTTCCGTATATGAAAAACGGCTTGAATCAAATACTTTAATAGATCTCTACTTGTATTCAATGTTATAGCAACTGCTTAGAAAATAACCCTAAAATAATTAAAAAATACCCAAAATGAAGATTTTTGAAGCGGCAAGATCAATCACGTTTAGTGTCAAAAATTTCGAAATGAAACTATCTTATAGAATTTTTGTATCATGGAAAAAAGTGCTCTTCATTTAGTCAATACAATTTTAAATTTATTTGAAACTGGGTGCTCGTTAACCAAATGCAGCAATTTGTGGTACATGAAGGAATTAAAACCCGAAAGTCTAGCGCATTTAAACTATATGAAAAAACTAGCTTACTTTAGGGCCGTTTTCGGTTTCACATCACATCATAACTTAAATAAATTTTTTTGTGAAATATGATGAAGTTTTCATTCGTAGGTTTCCTCTTTCCAAAATTAGAGTTAAATACATTTTGGAAAAAATAGAAAGTAAAATTAGAAGCCGCACTGAAAGGTTCGTGAAAACAATGTGCTTTGGGTAAATAAATGTTGTTGATAATTTATTTGATTTTGAGGGAATCAAGCACTTAGGCCAGCGGAAAATCATCGGGAAGTTTTTTGATTTGTGTTGCTGATTTCTGCGGAGTAAGCGAGGCGGCTACAAGTCAGGTGGTGAATAAAGTGTCTATTGATATAGTCGCACTTTCCAGAGCAAATGCTGAAATTTTTCGAAAGAGAAAAGGGAACTTTTCCTCCAATGTACAAGCCGCCTGTAATTCAAAATTGAAAATAACTGACCTTGTACGCAGGTGGACTGGTTTTGCATATGATAGCAATATTTTTGATAATAGTCGTCTGAAGCACCGGTTTGAGTAAAACGATCTGACAGACTGCTTTTCATTGAGTGACAGTTGTTATAGAGTCAGGAACTACATGATGGATGTGTCAACTTTTACATTCTAATCTTAGCACTGAACGTCTTTACAATGAATATCAAATCCGTACTCGAAATTGCATATCGAGGAGCTATGTATTGCGACTTTCGCTCAGCACAACTATGAACATCATTGCTGCCTGTAGAGTGTTGTTCAATATGACCTTCCAGAAAGACACTGATTTGGATGAAGTAGAATTTCAAGCAGTAGAACCAGTAGAAATATCTGTTGATGCCGACGGAAACATAGCTAAGATGCAAGGAAGCCATAAATATTACATACATTCTATACATACCTGTAATTTAACACCATCATAGTCTTTTTTCCACATAAAAATATGTACATGGAATTAAATTCATTACATTAGAATTTTTTTTCATTATTAAAAAATAAAATTAAAATGTTAAAAAATGAAATGGAAGATCTTAAATTTTACTTAACCATATCGTATGGCTGGTATAGCCGCGATAGCCGAGTGGTTAGCATTGTGTATTAGCAGTCGGAAGACTTGGATTCAAATCCTGGTGTTGAACTAACGTCCTAAAAGTTATAGAAAATTAACTTAAATAATAAATTGAATTGAATTTGCTAATTGCGAATGTATTTGTGACATGAAAAAAAACTTCAATCGCTTCAGCGGTTACAAAACGCCAATTATATATATATGTATATATATATAACCATAATATACCAGCTGTCATGCAGTTTTGATATATTCATAACGAAAAATTTTTGTGAATTTATGTTAAAATATTTACAATGTTCAAACTAACCAGAATTTAACGAAAATGAAAGTGCCACAGCAGCCTATCTGGCGGTTAGTTATCCTCCGATTACAGGTTAAGTTAATCGATTATTATGAGAACGGGCCTAACAGAAATTTGCTACAGCCCTTACTTAATTATAGTTAAAAAAAAAATTGTACATAATCCAAAGATGTGTTATGATTTTGTTAACTCCAACAGCAGAGTGTCTTTGTTTCCGTCTGTCATGACATACAAAACAAATACATCAAGTGACTTTCTCTCTCTTTAATTCAACCTTTAAACACGGTATCTTTCCTTTGAAAACAAGTTTTCATTTTCATTAAATCCAGGCGCCGTCTTTAGTTGAAATTTAGCTAAAAAATTTGACGATATTTTCTTTCCGTCCACATCTGCATCGTTCTTTTTTTGTTGATATCTGTGGCAGATAAAACTTCGCCATTGGTAAGTGAACCTTAGACAGCAACATCTTTCTCCTTGATGACAGTCAGGAAAACTATTGCTGCTTCGTCATGGTTCGTAATTATTGGAAAATGTTCCTTATCTTTTTTTATGCAACAGGGCTTTTGAAGCAGTTAAGAATGGTTAGGTGTGCCACAGGTTTCCATGCCTTATCAATCAATGAAAAAGCCGTCGGAACCATTCTCAGTTAGATTGTTTAGATTGAACGTCTAAAACTTATGTATGAACGTCCGTTCTTGTGTTAATCCACAATTTTTAGTCGTGATTTTTTTTACATTTTACCAAGGGCTTCTGTTTTCCCGATTCATATTAATACGATTTTGCTGAATCAACCTCGATGATTTTCTGAATCCTTCGGGTACGATCTCTGGAATGTTAAATAAGAAATCGCCAATTTAATTTGCAATTTCTTTCCTTATAAAGAATAATATAAACAAATAGTTTATTTCGCAATATTCTATACTGATGTTGTCGCCAACGAGCTCACTTTGTAACTGACTTCTCTGGCAGCTGAGTGTCGGCCTTATATAGCAGTCGGCTGCTCGTAGACGAAAGTGTAGAATAATCGAGTAGTTCGATATCGAAGGCTCTCGTTTTATCTCTCTAGAATGTACTAGTTATCGGCTTCTCTCTTTCATCTGACATTCGCCTCGCATTAAGTAAAACTGTCAACCTCTTTTTGCTATGTTTTCCTTTTGGAATTTTTCATCTTTAAAAGTAAACGTCTTGCCCGGTAAACTAAAAAAAATTATGCCAGTTCTCACAGTGGTTGCGGGAATCACGATTCTTAATCAAAGTCTTCAATTTACCGTAGCAATATATGCAAACTTTATCATTAACACTTCCAAATTCCCGACAATCTTTCTAAACACAACGGTATTTCTCTTTTTGAAATTTGTAAGACACTTTCCACTAACTGAGAATTGTTTATAAGAGAATTATAACATTGCTTTGTTACGCAGACCTAAATTTTTTAGATTTTTATGGAACTCGTGATGACTTTGAATTATAGAGTGGCTCGAATTTGCACAGGTTTGAATTACACAGAGTCGATTATATTTATGTATACATGTGTGTCCNGGAAGGTTCTTGTTTTATCGTTTCTAGAACGTACTAGTTATCGGCTTCTCTCTTTCATCTGACATTCGCCTCGCATTTTCGCAACAATATCAATAAAAAACAAAGTTTTACAAATATTTTATCCTCGCGTTTGAAATTGCAAACACCGCCGCATTGATTTCATCAATTTATTAAGCAATAGAAGTGAATTACATTGATAAATCAAGTTATTTATCTGCTTGAAGCATAATTACCTATGAGGATGATCTTGCCATTCTATCTTGAAGAAAACATCGAAATCGGATGAAAATCATGGGTTGTAAAGCGTGCACTTGAAACCTCAGCTGTGTGGGCTAAGAGGCAAGTACTCACTGTAGACCCAGAAAAATTTTACGAGGAAGACACAAATTCACGCGACTCATAATTGCATTCTCCAATTCGGTCAAAACTTTAACATCATTTAGAAGAGAAAGAAATAAGCCGCTATTTTTGTCTGTCTAAACGAATACACTTATTGTGCGGGATGGTACATTTAGTGTTGCCTGATGGTACTATTCTCACTGTTACCGGTAAAGTAAATTTTGTTACTTTTTTTTAACACTCGAAATTAAATTTGATCTTCTAGCGCTCAGGTTTCCCAGCACTTACATTTGCCAGTAGGTAAAGTAAAAAGAATAATATTTAAGGGGGGGACCTAGCTTAGAGGGTAAAAAAACCGATTTTTTGAAACTTATCTCATTCAATTAGAAATACATTCAGAAATATTTTCACAAAATTTCAGAGTCGAATTCCTAACCGTTCCGCAGAAATGGCCTCTGAGAGACAATGCGCTTACGATACTGATAAGCGGACGCTAGAACTTTGAACGCGATTTTCTCAAAACAGTGTTTTTCTGTTTTGTGCACACGATTCAAAAAGTTGTAATTATCGCATTTTCATAAGTGATACCTTTTTTTACAGCTAATAGCTAATTCTTTATTAACTTTTTTCAAAAAAATTCTCTCCAAATTTCTTCAGAAAAACACAAAATTTGTTTATAAACAGCCATAAAATAAAGTTTTTTATACATTTCTTCGTATATCTGAGGTTCACATAGAAGAGCAACTCCTAAGCTACAAAAAAAATATTCGTTTTTATGTTTCAGATGAAAACTACGATCGGCATCGTGCCCACAAAATAGACTCTTCGTGCGAGAAGTACCACAAACAAATATGAATTGTTATTGCTTAACAGTATCAAATGACGTGAAAGTAAATTTTGTTTGCAAGATTTGTGTATCTATGACTTATTTCAAAAGTACTTGAAACATTTCATACGTAAGGCAACCTAAAACACTGTGCCGAATATCAACAGAATTTCAATTCAATTTTTATGAAAGTTTATTCTAAAAGCAAAAATTATTATTTATTGTATATTATTAGTATATTATATATTGGTCAAGTGTGATGAAGTGATGATTCAAAATTTCCCCACCTCAATTATCCCAACGTCATAATGGGGCTGTTCAGTAGCTACATACGCGAAGCGAGCAGTAATGTCAGAAAAAAAGTTCTGTTGTCGCTGGCCACAGTCATATAAGAGTATTTGGTTCAGGATTCAAAGCAAGTTCGACGTCATAATTGACTGATGACTATTTCCGCTACGAAACTTCTTAGGATAAGCAAAAAAAAATAAAATAAAAATTGAGTTATAAATTAGAATCAGAAAAAGAACAGAATTTAATACTAATTTTTAATGGCTTCTTACCAGGATCCTTTATTTCAAGTCAGAAATATATCCAAAGTGGTTGGCATTTCTTGCCGTGGGGCGACATGTACATGTTAGAAAAGTTAACTTTTTATTTACAGTCAGCAAAATTCGTATTTATACACTCCAGTATTTTTACTTAAAATTTAATTTATCTACTAAAGTTTATCATTTATATACAAAGTGATTTCAATTCGTGAAATTTTTGAATTTGTGTATAAAAATATATATAAGTACTATTTCAATAAAAACTGTAAATATTAATAGTTAGAGTAAATATTTCAGGTCACCGAAATCAAATTAGTGTTGCTTTTGCATATCGTGTACTGCAAAAAATTATTTTCATAAAATGGGCAGAAAAAGTTCGGAGTTCCAAGTGCCGTCCGGGAAACGACTGTAGAAATGCATCATCCCTATAACCGGAATTATGAATGCTATGAAATACATTGATATTTTAAAAACTAATCTGAATTCAAGCGCAGATAAGCCTCGATTAGGGGGCCGTTATATATTTCAAAAAAATAATAATCCTAAACATACAGCGTTAGATACTCGTCTTTGGATCTTGCACGACTGTCCATTTTACTTGAAAAGACAACAAGACAAATGTCAACACCCACCACTTCTTCGTCGATTTTAAAGCAGCCTTCGACAGCACGAATAGGAGCAGCCTTTACGGCGCTATGTCTGAATTTCGTATCCCCGCAAAACTTATACGGATGTGTAAGCTGACGCTAGACAACACCAGAAGCGCAGCCAGAATTGCTGTTCGGTACCAAACGAGGTTTCAGACAGGGTGACACTTTGTCGTGTGATTTCTTCAATTTGATGCTGGAGAGAATAATAATAGAATAGAGAAGGTACAATCTTCTATAAGAGTGTACAACTACTGGAATACGCCGATGATATTGACATTATCGACCTCAACAACCACCCAGTTAGTTCTGCTTTCACAGGCTTGATAAAGATGCAAAGCGAATGTCTGGTCTAGTAGTGAACGAGGACAAGACGAGATCATCAAACAAATAGTCATTGTGTTCGCGACTGGCGCCCACGGCTCAGTTGACAGTCATAACTTTGAAGTCGTAGATAATTTCGTCTATCTAGGAACCAGCATCAACACCAGCAATAATGTCTGCTTTGAAATTCAACGCAGAATCATTCTTGCCAACAGGTGGTTCTTTGGACTGAGTAGGCAATTGAAAAGTAAAGTCCACTCTCGGCGAACGAAAACCAAACTCTACAAGAGGAAGAAGAAGACCTCCACTCCGTTGAAAGGATCAGGTGGAGAGTGACCTGGCCTCATTTGGTATTTATAACCGGCGCCAAACAGGGTATGAATGGCGCGCTATAATTAATTCGGCTGTAATCGCGTATGCGGTGCCAACGACAATAATGAAGAAGAAGAAGAAGGAAACCCATATATAAACCCCATAAAGAATTTATGGTCTATCGTTAAGAAACGGTTGAGAAACTACAATATTAGGAACGAGAAACAATTGAAGGATGCATTGCCAAAGGAATGGATATATATATCGCCAAAACTTAGAAAAAAGTTAATTAAATCTATGCAACGGCGATTACAAGCAGCTATTAAACAAAGAGGATATCCAACTAAATAATAATTTTAACTCCTTTAGTTTTCGAATTTTATTTTTATCTACTATTTAAGTGTGTATGAATACGAATTTTGCGTTGTCTGATTACAAATTTGCTTAAGACTTACAGTTTTTATTGAAATAGTACTGATTTATATACACAAACCCATAAATTTTGCGTATTGAATTCACTTTGGATATAGTTACGGACTTTAATGTTAAGCTCGCTTGGCTTTTGGCTTCAACACCTGTATGTATATATTATATATTATTTATTTGCAGATGAAAATAGTTTGTTTACCCGAGCTTTACCGAAAGAGGAGCAGTGTGCCTGGCTTTGGGCATTGATATTTGCATTTTCTACGCCTGAAGTACTTACGTTTTTTCGAGCTTTGCGCATTTGTACTTTCAAAGATGTTAAATCACCCACCTGGACGGAAGTTGCGCTGGTGAACAAGTTTCCACATACATATATGTATACATATCTCATAATTGTCGCAATTACTATTCTTTATGATTAAAGGTTTTAATTTTTGAAATTTTGCACACCATTGGGCTGGCATTATTGGTGTTTTACGTAATGCCGCAGTTGGATTCGGTGCGAGCTCTAATGATTTGTAACGGGGTTTGTTTCATACCCAGTATTCTTAGTAAGTTAAATAGGGGCATTTATGTATATGGAACACACTATATAAAGAGTATTTACGAGTGTTCTTGGGGATATTAATTTTCATTTTATTAACAGATATTGGTTGGGAATCTAACATTACCAGGCGATCCATTTTCAATTTAGTAATCGGAGTTTTGGCAATTATGGCTCAAATGAGTGCTTTAGTGGTGTGGCCAGCATTTTCATCCAGTTCGGCTGTACATTTAATCGCTCTTCCACTAGTACTCATCTCAATGCGTTGGTGGGAAAACTACACAACCTCATCTTCTGCTTTAGGTTTGTAAACTCTTCATATGATCTTATTATACAATCCAATAAAATTGAAACTTTTTTACACATCGAAACGTACATACATATGTATGTATATTAAATTATGAATGTATTAGAGCCAAAAACAGTAATATGTAAATCAATGAAAAAAATGTACACATCAGACTTTATTGTGACATAAAAACATCTATTTTTCGAAAAAATCCACATTTAGATCATTTGTTTACTTAACTTACATCAAATCATTCAGCATTTTTGAAAATAGCATGGTTTTTGCTAAGCCTCCAACAATAATCTGATAGCATATCTGGGCCGTAGTTCTCTTTATAAGGCTTTTCCATTAAGGAAATGTCTAGATGGAATATTTCACCTTGTTTGGCATTCAAAGTAGACAAAATTTCCAAAGACAAATCCAAGGGGGAGTCCATCTTCTTGTTCTTCTTTCGCTTACACGATCATAGCCGAATCAACAATAGCGCGCTATGTAGTTGTTCTCCTCGCTTTTTGGCCCCAGTTGGAAATACCAAGTGACACCAGGTCGCTCGACATCTAATCTTTCCAACGGAGTGATGGTCCTTCTCAGCTTCCATTAGCGAGTAGTGTAATTAATACTTTCCAAGCTGGAGTGTTTTCATTCATTCGGTAGACATGACCTGCTCAGCGTCGCCGCTGTCTTTTCATTCATTGAACTATGGCAATTACATCGTATAACTCGTACATCTCATCGTTCCATCGTCTGAGTTACTCGTCGTTGCCAATGCGCAAAGGACCATATCATTTGCATAACAAATCTTACTAAGACTCGCAAGGTCGATGCATCGGATGTCGATCTCGTTCACGCTTCAGCCCCATAGAGTAGGACGAGAATGATGAGTGGCTTGTAAAGTTTAATTTTGATTCGTCGAGATAGGACTTCACTTTTTAATTGCCTGCTCAGTCCAAAGTAGCACTTGTTGGCAAGAGCGATTCTGCGTTGGGCTTCAAGACTAACGTTATTATTAGGGTTAATGCTGGTCGTCCCTAGAGAGATGAAATTATCTAGACCTCGAAGATATGACTGTCAACAGTGACATGGGAGCCAGGATGCAGTGCGTTGACTGTTCGTTTGATGACGGGAGATATTTCGTCGTATCCTCGTTCACCACCAGACCCTTCCCTTCTTTATTAAGCTGGGAGAAAGCAGAACTCACGGCGCGGCTGTTACAGCCTGTGATATAAATATCATTAGCCTACGCTGGCGGTTGCAATCTAATTCAAAAGATAGTACCTTATCCATTTAGCTCTGCAGTTCTTAGTATGTTCTCAACCATACTTTTGAAGAGTCCAGCATATTTATATTAAGTGAGAATAACACTCCAAGGTTTTATGTGCCATTATAAGTTCATTCATTAATTCCTTATAATTTTCTGATTTATGGTTTCCACGGAGCATTCACAAAACATTGTCGGGCCAAGTTTTCCCTGGTCATTCAGTTTTCATTCTTCAAAGGTTTTATCCTTTATCAGTTGACGTACAGGTATTTGTGTTATGTTGTGTTGCGTCGAGTCGAGTTTTGGGAATTTCTCTTTTAGATTTAAAATTCCGCTTCCATCTTTGGCTATAACTTCTACAACATTTTATCCGGATTTTGGCACAAGCAGGTCGGCACTATGTGAACAGGTCTTTCGGATGAATGAAACAAAGTAATTATATATTTTTACAATAAAAAAAATCATCAACATGTATGTTTGTCAAAAATAGTGTTAGCCCTGATTTCTATAAATATTATGCGTTTGGACAAAGTATGTAATTTTTTTTCTAAAGGCTGCTATGCAAGAAATAAAGCTATTAAAATTTATTTATTTTTTCTTTTTTTAGGACACATATTGAAAATTTTTCAACGAAGTCGTTCTAGATATCAGACTTACCTCTATCTCTCGCCCGTAAAAATTATTTTGTTCTCTCTAATTGGACTTGGCTTGCATGGTTATCCTATAACTGAATATTTTTCTACTTTCATGAAAGCTTGGCAATCGCATGAAATATTAGTTTATAGCGGCGAGGTAAGTAAATTTAATTGGCAAATTCGAAGATATTTCCAAATCAAAAAAAAAAAAATATTATTGCATTTCCTTCAAGTGACTGTTTAAATAGTCAAAGCAAAAGGTTTATAGAATACAAGGCTACGACAACCGTTGACGTCACCGAACCAACTACGTCATATATACAGTGGACTAGACTTGATATATATATATTATAAAAAGTGGCTATTTTCTCCTTAAAAGAATATATATGTATGTATGTGGGAAGAAAACACAAATTATACAATAATTTTTTTAGGACCGCCACCGCAATCACCGATTTTTCAATTTTCAAAAAATTATCAAGCATCCAAGTACTGTACAAGGTGCAAAACGTAGCTTGTTTTGCTGAAACCATGGTCCCGGTGACCGAAGACTACCAAATGTGAATAAGAGCCTTACACAACGGTACACCGCGGTGGCGTTACTTAAGTATTAACCAGTAAAAAAAATGAAATATTTTCCTCTTAGATATGCATTTGCTATTCGATTTTCTTAATACCAAAATTTCAAGTTTTCTGCTAAAAAAAAACTTATATCACCAAATTCCTAAAATGGGGCGGCTAACGACTTTGCTATAATATCGCAACTTAGTTTTAATTTTTCAGAAAATATTAATACGAATTACTCACATGAGACTTTTTTTTTCCAAATTTTTGTCAACAATAGCCCATTGCACATTTTTTCACCGCATCAAATTTTTAAACACGATTTTTTCACACTATAAGCATCACCCATTTCCCAAAAGCTTTTCAGCAGATAAAGACAATATGCGAAAACTTCTTTTTATATTAAATATTTTTTAATAATAAGCGTTCGTTTGGAATTTTGATAATTTTTAACGTTTCGTCACGTTTTACGTTATTTTCTCACGCCATTCGTATTCTATGACATGAAAGGTTAGAGTTGCTAGCTATAAACATTTTTGTTCTTTAATTATAAAAATTAATTTTATAATAAAAAATTTTTGGGAAATTAAAATACATTTGTTCTACATAAAACTAGTCAGGGCGTTTTAATTTTGATTGCTATTAGTTTTAAAAAATTTTAATACAACCCACAAAACTAAACTCAACTCTTGTCGTAACCTTCTATTCGATAAACCTTGGTCAAAGCCCCATTCTTTTTTGACAGAATGTACATGCATGAATACTCTACATGTTGAAATTTTTATAGCTTGCAGATAAATCGCTGTTTACACTGTCAACTAATGCTAATACCGTTATATATGTTCTACTGCTGCAAGTGTGCTCCTCATATTTATGCTATGTATTTGCAAAATTCGCCTGCAAAATAAAAATACAAGAGTTTAGCTTCTCATTGCCGTTGAGTCTGGCTGGACCCACATCTATTGCCATTGCCTTGTGGCTGGTTTGGTTGCGTGACACGAATGAGTGCGCTTTCCACAGATTTATTCCTGATTATTTGAGCCTAACTGGAAATTCATATAATGACTTACTCAGCGCTATTATCGAAAACAGGCTATGGATATGGCCGTTATGGTGGTTATCCCAATTATGGATAACACGACATATTTGGGGTCCACGAAATGAGAAAAACGCTCCAACAGAAAAATTATTCATATGTCCATGGTATTGCGGATTTTTGGTCGATCAGTGCATAACAATGAATCGACGTATCATTGACTTAAACGAGGAGTGCTTGACAAGAAAGGTAAAATTTGAATTAAAAAAAAAAATGTCATACCATACATAACACACACATATTTATGCATACATACTACATTAATCCTTCTTTCTCGTTGGTCACTGGCTACTGTTGGTTGGTTGGTAGCAAAACAAAGAAAACTTTAGGAGCTCCAACATACAGCAGGACATTAATAAAATTACTAGTTCGAAAGTTAGACTATGGGACTTATTAAAGATATTGTAACCTAGCAAATGGGTGCGTATCGTCGGCATCTTTAACATTGCTGCCATATTGCTCATGCTCGGGGGCTTAAATTTCTCAAAAGCTTAGAATCCGGATGTTTAATTTCAATTTACTAGGTGGAAGGTTTAGTGAATTGAAGAATTTTATAGAGAATATACTGCGTCATATTTTTTCGAAATTTTAAATATTCTATAGAAATTCATAATGGAGTGTCAGTCGATAATCTCCAGCAAATACAAAGTAATTCCGGTAATGAGGACTTATGAGCTTCTAAAATCTTTTAAAGTTCTGCTTACGGCAGCTCTATTTCATGGATTACATGTATACTAGATCTAATAAGATACATTTATTATATTATTAATTTTATGATAACATATAAACTGTTATATATTCTATATGTTCCACATAATATTAACCAAAGCCGAAACATCAAATCGATACCAGGCACACTTCCCGCAAGAAAAAGTTCTCCCTATGGTAATTTCAGCTTTAAGCTACTACTATTTCAAATTTTATTTAAGTTGAATGAAAATATAAAATTTTTGAATTGATCGATCTCGGGTATATTTCCTAAAAGAAAAGCTGAACCTAAACTTTGTTTAGGCAAAGAGTTACATTTAGATTGTGAATTGATCTGTCAGTCATTCAGAGCAAAGCGTTTTATACAGTTACATATATAGATAACATTTAATATATTTAATGCTTGTAGTGATTTCTCAAGAGTCCCATTTTTGTTGAGAGAACACTGTTGAGACTGCCGCGCGATATTACCGAAGCGTCTTTCAGAATTCATTTTCCTCTTTTTCTTTTAAGATCAGAATATTATATACATAGATGATTGGCACTTTACACTTATATAATTGGCAATTTGCAACGCGCAGGGACTTATAGTTTATTCTAATGCTGCAACCACCCATCTTACATATCTTCCGTCCATAGCAACCTATCTTATGAGAGCGTCATGTGAATGAAAAGTGGTCATCGTTTGCCGATGCCGTTTCTGACGGTTGTCCCGCAGAAAATACTCGTGTTTGTCTACTCTATTACAGTCGGGTGTTATAGCTGTGCGGTATATAAGCACCGAACGGCCCATGGATTTTCATGCGAAAATTTTCATTTCATATCAGAAATACACTCGGGGAGGTTACCATGGCCCTGTCGCAATTAAATAAGTTAACTTAATTTTTGTATTTGAATTTATTTTCTTAAATTAATATTTACCGCTTGATACGAGGCAGCGATTTTATGTTTGCAGAATGATTATTATCTGTTGCCAAAAATGCAAAAAGAGCTGAGGTGTAAAAAATTTATTACCGATGATGAAGTCAAGCGACAGTTTTGGCGTACTTTATAAATAAAGAGAAAATATGTTTTTACGAGGGTATAAACAAATTGAAGGGTATAAATAATTGAAAGAACTGAAAAAGGTATCCGTTTTGTAGGTGAATACATTGAAAAGGAAAAATATATTTTATTAGCATCCTCGCATTAATTACATGCCTTTATATTACATTTAGAGGGATAACAAAATATACATATGTACATATGTATGTATGTAGATAGTTCAAATATGAATGTGAATTATTTGAGTGACGCCGATCAGCAGAAAACAATATAGTAGTAGGCAAGCCAGAGCAAACAACAAAGATGATTTTTCAACATGCGAACATGGGTAATTCTCATAAAATTACTTAAATTAAATTAAGCGATTTCGGATAAGAAGCAGCCCATACGAATCGAAAAAAAGAAGCAAATTGAACCATAAATAAGCTACCAAGAAATTAAATTTCATGTGAATCGAATCGTAACTAAGATTATCTCATGAATTGGGCCCCGAGATTCTTAATAAAGTTGAAATTTATTTCGGTCCAGCCGTTATCAATTCAGGAAAAACCATATATTGTTTTGAACATAAGGGTTTCTCATTGAGCGAGATCGCATATTAACCACATGTCTATATGTATCTATTCTGCATAATTCATTGAAATGACAATTGTCATAGCGCACGCTTTGGACTTGCTTTACGCCCGTAAATGCAAGGAAATGAATTCCGTATACGTGCGGGCGTTCGAACAAAGCTTCTTCTTAAGTCAACAAATGATGTCACCTATTGGGTTATGGAATGGACCAAGCCAATCAAATGTCTGCTGTGTGACCCTTGGTCCACTTCCTAAGATTATCATATATTAATCCAAACCATAGAAACGAATATTTCGAATAGATCGGTCTTAGGTACTATTCCTGGAGACAAAAGTAATGCCCCTGATAAAATAAAAAAAAGGCTACCTATGTACCACATTTCAAGTAAATTGAACAATAAATTCACATTTTTCGAATAGACCAGTCCCAGGCACTCTCCCAATTGTGAAAAATATATGTTATGTTTTTCTCAGACCTAGTAGGGTGATCCATCTTTTATGTCGGTACGTAAACGATGAATAACGTTTTGGATATTTTGGAAGCGTCAATTCAGTGCAATTTTTGTCATGGATTGCTTCACACCGAAACAACGCGCTGAAATAGTGACACTTTACATGGAACACAGTGTTAACTCAACGTGCATATCGGAAAAAATATCGTGCAAAAAGGCACCATCTGACAATATTATTCGTCGTTTCGCCCCCGATTTCTTTTTGTGGGGTTATCTGAAAGGCAAGGTTTACGCCAAACAGCCTAAAATTATTGATCAGCTCAAGGCAAACATTCGTGCTGAAATCGACGCTATAACACCCGAGATGCTCGGAAAGGTAATGGCAAGCGCATAAAAAAGGAGTAATTTTATAATTCCTGAAATAATATCGATCTGGGCATCCACCACATTCCGAACGGACTAATATGTTCCATATATTATACATATGTACATGCTTTCATATGTATCCGTTTTTTTTTTTTCAAATCTGTACATGGGTTATGATTAACCTGTCTGATTTATGTATATTGCAATAATATAATATAATATGATTGCAATTATACATTTTTTTGTTTGCAGTCGCTTAATTTCAGTGTGAGGAGCTTGAAAATGACCACGGGGTATTTTTTCCGATTTTTGTAGATTATTTCTTTATCTCAATTATTTATATAGTGTTTTATGAGAAAAACTTGTAATTTGAAATAATTGTTTGTAATAATAACATTTTTAAGGATGAATTGTCACCGGTTACAGCGACAGACATCTTGGAAAGCGATAAAATACCACAGTTGATCGTGTGTGCAACAATGTGGCATGAAACACAGGAAGAAATGATGGAGTTTTTAAAATCTATTGTCCGCTTAGATGAAGACCAGTGTGCCCGACGTATGGCAAAGCTACACATAAATGGTGGCAAATCGGATAACGAATACTATGAGTTCGAGAGTAAGTACCTAACTACATACATAGGTATATCCACAGAAGTTTGTCCACATTATTCTTAAGAATATATACATACATAAGTACTATGTAGATATTTTTCATAAAATTATGAATATCTCAATTTTATATTCAACCAGCCAATATATTTTTCGATGACGCTTTTGTGCTGGATGAAAAATTATGTGAAAATCCTCGCAATCCACCGATGAACGAATATGTGAAAACTCTTATCATCAGCATCGAGAAGGCATGCTTCGAAGTATACGGCGTTAATATGAAAATAAAACCTCCTGTTAAAACTGAAACTCCTTATGGTGGCCGCCTTGTCTGGACACTGCCAGGTCGCTCTAAAATGATTGCCCACCTTAAAAATAAGGATAAAATCAGGCACAAAAAGCGTTGGTCCCAAGTCATGTACATGTATTATTTACTTGGATTTCGTATTATGGAACTGGAGGGTGTATCGGCGCGTCGCAAAGCGGTTATAGCTGAGAATACATTTTTATTGGCATTAGACGGTGATATTGATTTTCAACCGCAGGCTGTACAGCTTTTGATAGATCGTATGAAAGCCATTGACGAATTGGGTGCTGCTTGTGGACGAATTCATCCCGTCGGCCGTGGACCTATGGTGTGGTATCAGATATTCGAATATGCTATAGGTCATTGGCTGCAAAAGGCCACAGAACACGTAATCGGTTGTGTTCTCTGCAGTCCGGGCTGTTTTAGTCTATTTCGTGGCAGTGCCCTTATGGAGAATAGTGTAATGAAGAAGTATACAACGGTATCGAGTGAACCCATGCATTATGTTCAATATGATCAAGGCGAAGATCGTTGGTTGTGTACGTTAATTTTGAAGCAGGGTTTACGTGTTGAATATTCAGCAGCGTCGGATGCTTACACTCATTCACCGGAGATGTTTAACGAGTTCTATAATCAACGGCGACGTTGGGTTCCATCCACAATTGCAAATATATTTGATTTGCTATCGGATGCCGATATGGTGGTGAAGAACAATAGCTCTATATCAACACCCTATATTGCATATCAGGCTATGTTAATGGTCGGTACAATTTTGGGACCGGGCACAATATTTTTGATGATGGTGGGCGCTTTGGTCGCTGTTTTTAGTACAAGCATTTGGAGCTCTTTTTTATGGAATTTCATTCCTGTGCTATGCTTCATTTTGTCCTGCGTATATTTAAAGCAGAAATTTCAGGTAAATCTTTTAAATAATTTACGGCTTATTTAAGTGGTTACATAGGACTTGAAACTTCAAAAAATTCATTTGTTTGATAATTTTTTATATAAAGGCACAAAATGTCTGCAATATTTTCCTCAAGTTTCAAGTCGATGGAGACGAAACTCTAGAAATTAGAGAGTTTTATAGCCCGCCGTCTTTGCCACGGCTTGACCGATGGCGAAATTTTATCGAAATCGGTATTCAAAATATCTCAACAACTTTTAAAGCGATCGAGTTAAAATTTTCCACACTTCTTTAAAGCGTGTTTTTGTAGTCCCTGAACGAAGGATTTATTTTATTTTTGATTTCAACTCATTTTAAAAGCCAACATGTGGCCTAATTTTATGCAAAAAATAAGGTTTTTTGTTAAAAACGCTACCAAAAATTAAATTTTCAATTGTTTTAATTTTTCTTCGTTAAGGCACTTAAGAAAAAAATTGGATTTTTGATTTCAGATAAAAATTGAAAAAGTCATCATGACTAACCGACACTGTCAACGCCTTAACTTATACTATTTTTCATTCAAATTTTCACCAAACATATTTCACTTTTATATGTAGACAAAATAAATTGTGTACTTTATTTAATATCTTTTAAAAAAATCAGAGAAAAGAAGCTTCTTTTTTGGCCTTCAAGATCTATGTAACCCCATAAGTATGAGTATTTGCATAGTATTTTCATAGTTCTAATTTTGAAATTAACATTATTTTTTTTTAAGTAGTTTACTTTTAACAACAAAATGGCTTTGCCTGTTTTAGCCTGAAATGTTTAATATATTTCTCAGCAGCTGAAAAATCTTATCGTCATACTCTTATTTAAAAGAGATATTTCATTCACAACTGCAAAAAAAAACTATATTAATTTGCATTTAAAAAATTTTTTAACTCACATATTGTACCTCCTAAATAACTGTAATTTCTTCTGAATTAATACCTGGAGGTTTAATTCGACATGTCAAGATGTTTTGAAAGCCAGATTTTTTGGTTAGGAGCAAAAAAAATATTACGAAAAGAGTTTTTTGGATCCTAAATAAATACACAGATAGAACTTTATTTTGATATTCGTTATTTTGTATGAGTTAAGTTGGCATGGCATACTCAAATGTTCCCAATTTTCCCCAGAAGACTTGTAAATTTATTTCAAATAGTTAATATCGAGCATTTCCGGCCACTCAGAGGTAAAATTGAAGAAATATGTTTTCGTTGGACAGCATATGGTTGATCCACAATTCATCACAACCATGACATATCCTCAAAGGACAAAGGCCTTTTAAGAGATCATGGAGAGACTTTTAAGCGAAGACCCCAGTTTCAAACATGAAAAGTATCTCAAGGTTTAGGCTCTAATACTTTCGAACAAATTGAGGAGATATGAGTGAAGAGCAAGAGAATGGAGAAATGGCACGAGGTAAGAACTGGTAAGAGTATTCCAATAAGAGGTGTTATCTTGAATAGCCTTCTTTTTCGGTAGAAGACACATTTGAAGACGTATTTTTTTACAGGTAAAAACTACGCTAGTAATAAAAATGGAATGATACACGCGTTTAAATCATTAAAATTTACTAAAAAAAATTCATCGAAAAATTATCTTAATGGAGAAGTCTCGATGGCTTCGTCAATAAGCAAAACTGCTGCATCAGGGGCTCTGAAAACCCAAGATTTATTGTCGCAAAGCCTCTCCATCCAACGTGTAACTGTTTTGTGTGGTTTACGGTCCGGCGGAGTCCTTGGATCTTACTTTTTCTAAAATTAATGGATTGCCGGAATTGGATGGTATTGATCTGGACTACGTTTAACTTTAACAAGATGGCCACACAAGTAACGAAGTCATATATCTTTTAAGGGAAAAGTTTCCTTGAATATCAGACTAACACCTCTTATACGAAAACTCTACCAACTGCTATCCACTCAACAATAGATATAGCACTACATACCAGGAAATTAATAGAAGTAAGGTCACTGGTGACTTTCAATGGTTTTTGTTAAATCTAAAAGTACCAAATCCTTTGAAATTACTTTATTAGTCTTCCTTTCAAATTGTATATGGAACGATTGCACGGTTTTTAAAGACTATTTCCAAGTAGTTCCGAAGATTCCAGACGGGCATTCATGGCGTGGAGGCCAACAGGAGCAAACCCACCCGTAAAATCTTAGCAACAAAAATCAGCAGCAAAAGTAATGATGCCAGTTTAATTCACCGAAGAGTGTTTACCAAAAGTTTTAAAAATTTGTTGGAAAACAGGACGAAAGAGGATGTGCGGCGCTACTTTTTACATCATGACAACGCGCCATTCCCTGCTGAAATAAGTAGTAATTTTACACGGCGATCTCTGAGATCAAAGAAATATGTCCAGCCCCAAATTCCCCAGATATCACACCTTGTGATTTCTGGTTATATCCAAAAATTAAACAAAAATTTATATGAAAGGTCTTTAATAGCAACGAGAAGATAATTAATGCGGTTCATGCTGAACTTAATAAGTTTAAAAATCGAGATTTTGAAGACTGTTTTCAGTTTCAGAAGTAGATCTTATTATGTAAATAAGATGAAAAAAAGACAAAGATTACGAATAAATACAAAACGATTTTTTTTCTGGTCAACTTACCGAGCTTGGGTTAATATTTTGAGTGAATAATAATAATAATAATTGCTTAGGAAAAATATTTATACAATTCGTGAGTATTACTTGAAGAGGTGTTATAATTAAAAACTGTTATATGGAGTGTATATCACACGTTGTTTGACTTCAACGATTTGTCCTGCTAATAATAATATTTAAAACTGAAAGTCACATTTTGGATTGCGCTTGTAACTTTGCCTTTTCGTCATACTCCTCGGTGTGAGAAAATGATAGAAAATAATCTACACTCTGATTCGCATGCTAAAGTCCGTTCGTAAGCTTTGATTTTGTTTCACGATTTAAGTGGTATTTTTGTAGAGTACGAGTAGTATATTTCTGTATAAAATCTCTCAATAGCAATCTTTAAAGAAATAACAGACTAGCTGGGCTTGCTTGTGACATTGAGGTAACATATGTATGTATGTAGTTTCTATGCCTTTAGAATAGTAACGAAGGCGTTTTATTTTTATCTAACATTCACTTTCGACAACGTTTTAAATGTAGTATGTAATTTCCTAAAACGTCTCAAATTTCAGCTCTTAATCGCCTTCGTGATAAGTTCAATGTATTGTTTGGTAATGATGGCTGTCTTGATTGGCATAATCATACAGATGATCGACGATGGACCTCTGGCACCAGCTTCACTATTCTTTCTGCTTGTGTTTATGCAAATCTTTATTGCTGGTAATTGTTTATATACCCTTAAGAAATTCTACCATTTTAAAATGATTTATTACTTTTCTATCACAGGTGTAGTCCATCCACAAGAGGTCGGTGCGTTAATTTGCGGTTTTATTTACTACATAACTATTCCTTCCATGTATATGCTTCTACTTATCTATTCGGTTTTCAATATGAATGATGTTTCATGGGGTACTAGGGAAGTAGCAGTGAAAAAGGTAAACTCATAGCCAAACTCAGAGCGTACAATTGATAACCATTTACATATCCGATAACCAAAAGGATGATGAAAGTGGTCTTGCGCCAGGTGATGATGCTGAAGAAGGACGTGAATATTTACCCGGCTGGGTGAACGATCCGTTATTAGTTGATTCGGAGTTAGGCGAGATATCGCTTAAAGAGAAACGTTTTTGGAAGGATCTAATTAAACAATATTTACGTCCATTATTTCATACGAAGGATAAGAAAGCTGAAATTGCTGAAAGTTTGCGAGAATTGCGCAATATGTTTGCCTTTGCTTTCATTATGATCAATTCCATATTCGTTCTAATTGTATTCTTACTGCAATTGAAAAAGGATTACTTGCATCTCGAGTGGCCGATCGATCCAAAGGATTATATAACATACGACGATACTAATTCCCAAATATACATATATCGACAGCATAAGGAGTTGGATCCTATTGGCTTGTGTTTTGTTTTATTTTTTGGTCTTATTTTGGTCATACAATTTATTGCAATGTTTTTCCATCGCTTCGCCACCATATCTCAACTATTGGCCACAACACAATTGGATTGGTTTCGAGCGCCGAGCACAGTAAGTTTGTAATGTAATAATATTTGCATATATGGGGCCAACCGCTGTAGCCAATTGATTATTGGGGTAACAAATTAATTCGATCCGTTGACTCCACCTGTGGGTCGTGTTATGGTTCAAAATTGGCCAAATTAGCTTCGAAAACAAAGAGCGTGGTGTTGGGATCAGATGAGCAGTGTGCGCTGAGCGTTATCAACTACAACTAATGCGCTTGTGCCGTACATTGGGTTAAAACCGGCAAGAAACGCAATGCACACTAGGTCCTTGCGCGAAGTAATTAGTGGGATCACCTGTTTGGGTCTTTTGTAGAAATCGATAAGAAAGAGGATTCATTTCTTAGAAATATTATTTGAAAATTATCATAGAGGCGACTACTTTGCCTCCGTCGGGACGATACTTTGATTGAGGTCCTTTTTTTACTTTTTTAAACACAAAAAAAAAGAAAACGGGACGGGGTTAACTCGTGGAAACGGAAATAGTGGGAACAGACGTTTAATTCCACGCGCACGGTAGTTACATTTGTTGTTTACGGTGGATTAAGCGGTCGCTTAAGCACAAACAAATGAAGGCTTAGAGTTTAACTGAATTGCCTTCGAATAGCCGTTGTATTTTTGTGAGTAACTTTTATTTAATGTCAAAAAATCAGTTGAAAAATGGGTTTGGATTGTGATTGCTCAAAACTTTGAAAACTAGATAATAGTTGAAAAACAAAATCAATCTGAATCGGAGTAATAGACTTAGAAAAGTGCACATAAAGAAAAATAAGCAGCGTTTGAAATTGTGTAGCAAAAATGGGCGGTGAGTAAAGTGCATTTAAGGTGCCGTCAGACAAAACAATTCATTGATTGCAACTTTAATACGGAAATGAAAAATTTGAAAATTCAATTTCAAGAGTAGACATATGTAGCTTAAAAAATTGTAAGGGAATTTGAAGTTTAATTTTTGATAGTCATTTTATGAAATTAAATTTCCGGTTGGTCACAGCAAAGAAGCTTAAAGAACGTATGTATATGATACACAGATAAAAGATTTCTTACACTGCAATTTGATTTGAATTCACTTAATCACTTAATTTTTCATAATTTATTGTTGTTTGCTACTTCTCAAACAACTGAGCTTTTATTGTGTTTTGAAGAGGACGCGAACTCCTGGGACGGTCTTTGGCCACACTACTCAATTTTAATTTCTCTTTAATTTCTGAACGCTAATGATTAAAAAGAGTAAAAGTTAATGAGCGGAAATTATTATTGAAAAAAAAATTAGTTTGATGAAAAATATTACCACAGGAAATAGAAAACCAGCTTATATTTCCTACCCACGAGTAGGCGGCACTGATGACAAAAAACAAAGCAAAATTATGCGTTTGGCCTTTTTTCAGGGTAGAAAAAAGTGTAACCCTAATTGAGAAGTGACTTGCATTTGGGCGTTTTCCATTTCTTTTTCTGCTTTTCTGAGCGACTGGAAATTACTTTTTCCTTTGGACTTATTAAATTAAATTTAAAATTAAATATTAAATATTGTAACACAAAAACAAATAAATGCTAAATAGGTATGTCAAAATTCTAATTCATTGACAGAATCCCTAGTTCAACGAAAGCTAGTGCGTTGAAAGAAATAAAAATGCATATAAATGTCTGTGTCTGATAGCACCTTAACAGATGTTCATCTTCATTCATCTATCTATCTTATTTATGCTATGAGAACAATTGGATGTTGAAAATTAATAGGTATTAAAAACAAGTGATTTTTCAAGAATAACATAAACTACTCTTTTTTCATACTCTTTTAGATTACAGACGAAGATGCCGCTCAAGAAATACGCGGTAATGCCGTAAATATTGCTCGTCAGTTGCAACGTCCGAAACGTTTCGATGAAGACGATGAGGATTCGTCATTTGACGACGAACAAGAGTTGAATGGTGAAGAAAGTGGGGATAAAAATAATGGCATGACGCGTCGTCATACAATTTTCAAATTGCACGAGAGTCGAAATAAGACACCGACCGATTATAGTGACTTGCCTCGAAATTTCGAACGTCGTTTTCTGGGCGAAGGTGACGTTTTAATATATCCTTATTTTTGTTTATATATTAAGACCAGAAAGTTTCCGGAAATAGATTTTTTTTTCGATATTCGTGGTTCGGTTCATCATTAATCCGTTCCAAAGGGACAGACAGTCAATAAAGACAGCGTTTTGAGGCGTTTTGTGTGCCAACTTTTATGACGATAATGCACATTCCATACCGTCAACCAACCACAGTATTCACCAGATTTGGCACCTTTTTGTTTCCGAAATCGTAGACGGTGCGCAAAAAAATCAATAAGTTTTATTAATTTGTTTATTAAATCATAAATATGTGAACCTAGTTATGGAAAATATGTCTGGGCAACAAAAAAAAGCTGTATGAAAACGATATCTTACAAATTATAGGGTTATTTTTTGTCTCGAAAACTTCTTAAAATACGGATTTTTGCACTTTTTTCTTCATCTTCAATGAATTCCAGGCCTAAAATATGCCTACCCATTTTGATTTTTTTCTCAAACTAACAACACAAAATCAAACAGCAGATTATTTTGTTACCTGCTATTTCGCTGTGAGTTCAGAATACGAAATAGTAACAAAATTTACTTTTGTTACCTCGCCAGAATAGGCCTGTTAGCGTATGCATACATGTACATATGTATTGTAAACATATACTTTGATAGGGTTGCTAGACGTTTCTGTATTAAATTATTAGGGTCCTGGAAGCAATATCCCGAACTTGCATTAAAGTGTCCGGTTTCGATTAAGTCTAGAGGCTTAAAACTTAATTGTAATATAAATTTCATCGTTCCTAATTAATAAAATTTTGTAAGTATATAACAGTAAATTTGTTATTGCTGTTTGCCCTTAATTTTTACTTTCTTGATTTGGTAATATTCGAGATGAGCTTTAGCCCGCAGCCCTTACTAAAGCTCTAAATAAAGTACAACAGCTAGAAGCTTTGAATAATAAAATCTTTAGTGGAACTTAGGACTTTTGGATAGGATTGAAATTTTTAAATTTCGTTTAGTGAAATTAAAACTTAAATTTTCGTATAAAAATGGTGCGAATTGTGCTCGTTTTCTCCACAAAGATATCACGCAGCCCTACTCGTGAACTTATGAATATATAAAGTGCATTTTATTTTCAGATGAATTAAGGGTAAAACACATTTCGATGAGCAGAAAATCTCTAATTATGTTGAATGAAAGTCGCTGCTTGGCAAAGCATCGCTTGACGGAGCAGTTGAAACGGAATACTGACTTTAATAAAAATCCTGTGCCTTTTATTCAAACTGGGTACGCGAACGCAGCTTTCGAGCCTCCCATCGCTATCATTTCCAATAATTTCAATAGCGTAAGCGATTGGCAGTCTTCATAAATTGAATTGTAAAGTAACCGAAACGTCAAGTATAAAAAGCAAAATCTGAAAAGCCCGAAATAAATATTTTACTAAT